GTTTCCCACCCGGACGTCTGGGACCCAACGTGTACCTTTGATGCCCATAGGACTTGTCAAACTCATCACTTTCTTCGCCAGGTTGGCGCTCATCCGTTGTGGGATGCTCGATCCTAAGACACCCCCCTAGCCCGTCCGGGCCGTTATCATTCAACGCAATGCCGGAGACTCAGTAGGTTCCATGATGTCGTGATTTCAACTATTCCCTCATCATCCCCTAGTCCGTCGTTGCTTTAGCAAATTCACGAGTTCTTCTTGACAAAGCCTCGGCATTATTTTGGTTTTAGGAGTCACGTTCTATTCCAACTGTCTGTTGTCGTGACTGTAATGACAGGAACCCGCTAACGGTCGGCCGAGCTTAAACTCCGGTGGAGAACTCCATACAACGACCGAAAGCTCCCTCTCGTGACCAGCAATCAAAGTAGGCATGTCTCCATACACTCTCAAGGACGCATCCCTCGAGGGCACCTCGATGACGCCCACAACCCCCCAGCAGCTACCAATACGAATCCAATCCACTTCCTGGCACGGGCATATTCCAGCATTTTCTAACGTCATCAGTTGTCGGGAATCCAGTCAACAATCCGTAAACCGCCAATGGTCGGCTGTGTATAATTATAAAACGCCTTGGTGCTCGCCTCATCCGAGTCGCGAATGTTGGGCGGGAAAGTGTAGCTCATGACAGAGCGCGGGTTGGTCGGTCCGAACGGCACCGCACCACCCTCCTGGGCAGCGAACTCATGGCGCAGCCCCAGCACATGACCAAGCTCATGAAGGAAGATGTTGGTCTGGTATGGGCTGATGGCAGTGTCGAAAGCCTTCTGGTACACGAAGAGTGTGTTGAGGTCGTTGGAGTTGGGGAAGAAGGCCCTGGCGAGAACCGATCCTTTGTCGCCACCGTAGGCGAGCACGAAGGCGGCGTCCTTCACTTTAGAGACCCACTTGAAGGTGACTCCGATGTTGAGGCTGTTCCACTGGATGGCGGCCTCGTTGAGCTTGTACGCGGAGAAGATGGCGTGGCTTGACGTAGGATAACCTCGCTCTAGGGCCGCGAACTGGATTACCTGGCCCTTCTTCCAGCGCGGGATGGAGCCGCCCCAGCCAATCCAAATGGAAAGGGGGTCAGAGGTGTTGGCAGGGCCTACCGGCAGTCCCTCTTGGGTCACGCAAGTGTACTTGGATTGAGGTACCGCGAGCAGGGCGCTGCTGTCGACCTCGAGCATGCTGGCGATGTTTTTGGGGACGTTCTTCATCTCAGGATCCGCTGGTATGGCCTGCAAAACCGCCACGCCGGCGTTCTCCTTCAGCATGTTGTGGAACTCCTTGCGAGTCTTGGTGCCCGACTTCCCGTTCATCGTGAGTTCGGACTGAGACATGTTTGGCGGTGCTGTTGGAGTTCCACACCAATCGCCCAAGTTGAGATCCAGGATGTCGGTAAGTTTGGATAAATGAGGAGGGTGAATTTTATGAGCAAGAGTTGAGATATACAGGTGAGGATTGTAAGATGATGGTGATGGGCTGGGTTGAGATATGCAGGTGAGGAGTGTAAGATGATGGCGATGAGCTGGGTTTCGTTCACAATAGCGCGGAGGCACGGAGATATTTATGCTCAGGCGCTGGGTTTTGACATCTTCCACTCTCACCCTAAGCTCTGAGGGCGTTAGTTGTCTGCCTCGGAGATCGCCTGGTGTCTTTCTTGGAGGCCATCAGCCAAGACGCATCACATGTTACATAGTAGGCTTGCTGGCCATCAGCCACAGCCCTCAAGTTCGAACTGACTGCTAGGGTGGAAAGATTTCAATTCCCATTCGTCAAGAATCAGCGTCTCACATGACAGAACATAGCCTCAAATGCATAGCCCTTACTGATTCTCCAATGTCGCTCCAATAACTTCTTCCTTCTCCGCAGATCCCTGACGACGGCTTGAAGAGGCGTCGGGGCGTGTGATCTTCACCGAGCTCATACGATGATGGACGTAAGCAGCCAAGACTAATTCTTCGTTATCTAGTGGGTCGAGAATGGGAGATGCCACTTATGGGGCTGAATAGGAAGCGATGCCTTCTGCTCCAGGAAACTCTTTCCCACAGCGACAAAATTCTTTGGCATATAGCCCGACTCATGGCCAGGACGAAAGCCGCCCCCTCCCATATCAAAACAAAATCCACCTGATTCCAGCAACTAAAGTTGATTGCGCTAAGTTCCAGGAGTTGTTTGGCTGGAAACCACTGTAACCGATATTGGACACCTCAATGTGCTCCAAGGCCTCCTCATTTCGTCTATTCACGTGTGCTAACTGTTTATTAGCGGGTGATATAAGCCTCGAATTCTCTCGTAGCGCTGTAGGACTGACATGAGATACTACCAACCAGTGCTTGTGTAGAGTGGGATTTGGGTTTGCCTCTGCTGATACGTGGACATGCAGAAAATCCAGGAGGCATCCGAGACGAGGAAGCCGAGTTCAACTTCCTGGGAGCACATGTAAAAATCTCCCAAATATATCTTCTGTAGTCAATTGGCAACCTGACATCACACCACACTACAATCGCTGGTGGGTAACACAGTTGAGACGCTAGTCCATACGGAGAGGGGTGAGCGTCACCGGAGGCATCAGCAAGCGTCAGCAAGCGTCAGCAAGCAGCCTTACAGTAACGAAGGCTGGTTTTTGAACCGTCTACGCCCCAAGATATCTGCGCTCCGCAAGTCCACATGATGGCAGACCACGACTCGTGAGAAAGCCACCGAGTCATAGTACCAACAGAGCCTATAAAGTCAAATTTCAAACTCGGCTTCCGGTTTTACACCTTTCCATTCCCTTTTTCCACATAGACCTTGCCAAAATATTATTAGATACACAATATGTACTCTGCCAGGGTGGACGTAGTAGATGAAGAGGCCAAATTGATGGGCTTGATGGATGTTCTTGTCCTTATTCACTACGCCTGTCCTCGGGCGGGGTTGTGTCTTTTCTCCTCACCCCAGGGATCGAGGCAATTCTGGTTCCCATCTGGCAGTTCACTAGCAGAACTAGGTCCCGTAGGAGACTTCAGAAGTCCCGGGTACTGCTGCATGCGGGAACCTATATGCCACAATATACAGTCCCCATTACACAGTGTCGCATGCATCCGCGTCTGATTTCAAAACCTCAGGACAGTCAGATAATCTTTCTGGGAAAACGCCTTAGATTATCGAAGCATGTCGCAGCACAACAGATGACTCACCTTCTATTTACTTACTCGAGGCATTGCGAGCTTCTGCTCTGAGGCGTCACGGCCTGGTCCTCCGGACAGCGATTGGATTGAAAGAGCAGCTAGTGTGCCCAGTAGTCGCCGTCACAGCGATTATTGACCAATCTTTTGCTCTATGGTACAGCGGTCTAGCACACCCGTTACATGAGGGGTTGTAGGGCGGAGAGATTAAAGTTTATTCAGCTGTGCCTCCGCCACAAGCATACTAGTACTTTCAATTCTCTTAATATTGCTATATCTGTAGCTAAACTTATTACTCTTATTACTAAGATAGCTATATAATATTATTAAGCAGAAGCTTCAGATTCTTAAGAGCCTAACTAATAACTTAGCAATTCTCTATATTATATTAAGTAATCTTATCTATTAGCTTATTAATAGTAGTAATAAAGAATAATAAGTTGCCTTTAAGTTAGTAATAGTAAGCTGTAAGTATATTATATATAAACTTTAGAAATATTTTATTTCTTTTTAAAAGATGTTATTTAAGAATCTTACTTATAAGCTCTATTTCCATTTTAAATATAAGATAATAATAGATAAAATTAAGAAAATAAGAGAGGATCTAGCAGTATTTAAACTAATTTTAAATATTATAATTTACTTATAAATAATATTAGTTACTTTAAAACAGTTACTTATATAGTTAAACTACTAATAAAGTAACTAGTTAGTAAACGCAGATATAATATTATAGTTAGTACCCTACTTATATCTAGCCCCAATCCTCTCTCCATACTATAGAGAGTAGTCTATAATAATAATCTACAATACTAAGAAATATCAGACTGTAATAATAGAATAGCCTCCCTTCCTAAACCTAATACCCTGTTATAATATATATCTTAAAAATGATATAAAGAGAGTTATATAATTACTGATCTCTATTTAGGCCTTCTTTAACTATACTATTTTCAACTACCTGCTCCTGTAACCTTTTAGTAAGCCACTAATTAGTTAATATATTCTGGCAATATTAGTCGAGAAATACTGTATCTTATCAGCTTTATCTGCCTTAGCTGCTGCTAGTAGACAAGCAACTATTTTCGTATTGTATGAGGGAAGACAGAAAGCTCGTTTACTACCAACACCTGGAATGCAGCAGCCTGTTTTTCCTTTGAGGGCGAATAGAATAGATTAATGCAGATAGATCATGTCACATCCAGTATAGGCCATCATTACACTACGCATTAGCGGAGTGTTCATTCCACTTTTGCCGTAGTCGTCTGGTGCGACAGATCATCTAGTCGGCTCTAAGCGATCTGCGCGGGGCGGGCCGGTCTGCCCTTCTACCTTAACCTTGTCTAGACTCATGGTCGGGCCACGCACCCACTGCTCGCGAGCTATCACATGCTTCGTTAGTAATTAGCAACTGCGCGCACTTAATGTTGACTGCGCATCCTCGCAGAACCTGCATTTATTATAACCACACTTTGGAAACCCTGAGCTATTAAGATGGAGGCCCTCTCGTTATGCGTAGCGTCATAGCTCGTATTAAGACCTTCAGCTAACAGGTCAGCTCGCGTTATATATTTCGGATACTGGGTAGCTTGGCGCTATATTATGCTATACGACAGCTTTCGGCTGGCAAAACCTGCGTCGTGACTCGTCTTTAAGTTGACCTCGCCCAACCTGGCAAGTTCGCCTATACGGGTTTAAAAACTCTCTGTAAGAGTAAGTTCCCGCGTTGAATTGCATGAAAGGGGATCACAGGCTACGGTACAGTAATCGGACATACTCAACAAAGTTTACGTGCTTCCTCGTGTACGGCAAACTCCGTGCGCCACCGAGGGACCGGCTCCTTAAGTGATCTCCCAGAAAATGGGGACACTCAGTGTTATGATTGTATACTTTCCCCCGGCCGAGTGCGACAAAGGTTTAGGTACCTCCCTACTGCGCTGTGCTTTATCACGCTCAGTGCAACGGTACCTTAGACTTTACGGATGAGCATTTCAAAAGTCTGAGCCCAACCTGAGTAGCCAATCAGAGAAAGCCTAAGTCCATAAGATACTTTGTGCATCTTAACGCCCCTAAAAGCCTGAGAGCTATAGCGCGCAATTCAGCTGCTAGCAGATTGCCACAGGTGTCTTCGACCTCTGAAGACCTTGGAAGATAAAGGGGATATAGGAGAGGTAATGAGCAAGCCGTCATAATGGCTGTATCCCTACGTAACCGACAGGGTTGGGAGGGTGTGGCGTCATTAGCGTAGGCTCAAACTTTTAAAATGCTCCTCCGTTTGCAAATTGGCATTGTGTGCACCTCGCAACCCATCCCTCAACCTGTAGGGCCGATGGAACCAGGGCTAACTTCATATACGAGTAAAGGTGCGTTATGCGCAGATCAGCGACCACAGCGCGACCAGCCGAAGGTGAGGAATGGCTCGAGGGTGACGACGAGATGCGCAATGCGCTCAATAGTGTCTATCGACGTGATCATGAATAAGTGGCTGCCCGTGTACAGGATATATGAAAAGATAGTAGACAAGGTTTTCACCGAAATGCTAAAAAGTCTGCCGGAGCGTGAGCCGGCGCCGCGGAGATTGAAGAAGAAACAGCCAACGATGGATGAGTTGTTGGCCAGTCTACTAGTGCACGATTACCCTACCTCATCGATCACTTGCCAAACTCGAGATTGATTTACAAATCGGGGGCATGCCGCTCCAGGGCAACCACTTGATGAGACAGTTACACTAATAGTTTGATCATCCATCGGATGAATCTGCGGGGAGAACAGTGATGTATCCCCTGTTTCTTGCCTTTGTTAAGAGCGCAGATACTACAGAAAAACTATTGAAAACTAATCTACTTAACGCCTCTACGGAGCGGGTGCTCCGGATGAGGGCCAACACGGCAGGTGCCATGCTAAAACAGAAATGCCAATAGCCAAAACTACGTCATAGGCAGATAAATTATAACCCGATTCGTGTATTGTGAGGGGGTTATCTCGATATTGAATTAATTGCAGCTGATAAGATAATATTTAATCTGTAATTGGAAATTCATTTTTTCCCCTCCGGAGTCAGAAGTCAGATAAAGCATCCCTGCGCCTAGTAACTCTCCATATTAATAGCGTTCCATAATAAGCTGCGTCTTTAGCGAGTCCTCTTCAAGAAACCAACCCTTGCCCTGCAGATAGGAGATGAGGCTGTCGTGCTTAGTCGAGGCTGTCGTGCGGTTCTTAGTCTTGAAGGATGCCTCGACGAGGTAGTCGATCCCCCTGCCTGCGCGGTTGCGGATGGGCCAGACCTCGATGTAGAGCCGCATCCCCTCCCACGTGCCAATGGAGCGCTTGGCGGGGACCGGCCCGAAAATACGTGACTCTGCCAACGCGCCGGTGCCCCATTTATTATGCAGCCAGTTGTCGAACTTATCAGGTGCTTTATCCACCAGTATATCACACGAGTCGCGCTCCCCCGGCAGATCTATCCCGCTGTTTATAGAATCCGTGACTGTCTTCTTGCGGCTGATAGAGAGTGTCTGCCTCTGGTAGCCCCATTCGACTTGCGCCTCATATCTCGCGTCGCCGGCGTCGAAACCATTGTTATTAGCCGTAGTGAGCGCGGCGTCGATATCACCGCCCACGATAGCATACCGCTTCTTATACGTCAGCTCCAAGTTATCCTCGTTCTCAGTCTTGCGGATGCGTGCGTTCCAGCCGGCGGTAAAGATATCCTTGCTGTCCGTGTCGAGAAACTGGATATTCTGTTTAGTGACGCTTGGGGGCATATCGAAGGTGGATAGGACGGTGCTTATGAGCTCCTTGTTGCGGTTGAGGACTGCGGTGGGTTTGAGCAGGAGCTTGACCTCGTACTCGGGCGTCATATTTGGCGCTTCCTGCGTCGAGGAGTCGGCAATGGCGGCCATGGCGAATAGGCGGCGCGGGGAGGGTTGTTTGGTATTTGTGCGTTAGCGGGCAGGGTTTGAATGAAGCGATAAGGGCGATTGAGCCGTAGTAGATTGTAAGAGCGGACCAAGTCGGTGCTGTACTGGCTGTTCTTGTATAAAACGCTAAAGACTCTCCTACTAAATAGGAATAGGAGCAAGCGCAGGTCTGTTACTATCAGTATTTTGACTTTTGAAGCTTGGGACAAGGCGGTAAAAATGAAATCAGGATGATTTAGTGCAAATGTATTGTTCTATATTTGGGTTATATGAGCAGAAAGAACAGGTAATTATAACGTAATATAAATAATCTGAGGCTGTGATAGCGGTAAAAGGTACATTTGGAACGTAATGCTTATTTTAGACGTACCGTGTAATGAAAAGTCTAAGCTCAAGTTTGGGCTGCATGCTAGTATTCTGCACTTGGTGCTTAGTTGTAGCATAGCAATCTGGCGGCGCCATAGAGCTTCAATTTTCGGTGACCGTGCTAATGGGCATGCTGCTGTTTCTAAAACATTTTGCCTACCTAGCGGTCTTGTCCCCTAGACCTCGAGCCTGAATCCACCAGTTAGATGGACTCATGGTCCTCTCCCCGATCGCCGTCAGCCTAGGATTCGCCACGCAGCGAAAACCTGACTGGAGATTGAGATCCCGCAGTGATCATGCTTGGTATCGCAAGAGCAATCTTCCACTAGTTGAGAAAATAACGCTAATACTGCTGGATGCGCTATGCGTACTCTGAAGCATATATTAGGGTGAATATATTAAAAACACCTTGGTGCGGCTGAATGTGCTCTAACGTCACATGTAAGCTGAGACTCACCGCTTGATTTGTGGATGCCGAAACCCCGCAACGGCAGTTAAATAAGCTCCATACAGCTCTCTGGTGATGATCCCTAAATGACTATAAACTTCGTCACTAATACGAATGATGTCCGTTGGCAAACGGAGATTACTACTAAGGCTCATCTCTAGCAGGATAGGGGGGACTGTCACGTCCTGATTGCAGTTGATATGCCTTTTTAAGGATCGAAAGGGCGACGTAGATAATAGCTTTTCTCTTGATAGTGGCCGACTTTGCAAATTGGTAACGAAAAATACGAAGCTGGGTGGCTGCAAAAATGGTTGCCGGTGTGGAGGAATTGAGGAAGACTCAGCCATCATCTTGTCGAGCACACCATCCATCATCCTCGTCAAGACCTTCGCGAAATTTGCTGCGAAGCCGCATTAGTAGCTGTAAATGGTTATACCTGTTACCGCTTGGTCCAGTACACTGTGCCGCTGCAGCCCGGCGCACTTTGAGAGCAACCGACACTTGTTGTCACATACTGTGCCAAATTGCCTTCCAAGGTTCCATGAATATCATGCTATGATCATATCATTCACTATTGGTGTGCTAAACTCAGCTCGGCAGCTGCCACGTGCGCTGAGTCCTGCAACAAGCCGTACTATCCGGCCTAGCTGAGCGACTTGTTCCTCAACCTGCACATGTCTTATGCGACAATGAATCGGGAAAATGGCAACAGAGTTGCGTACTGCAGGACTGCGTTTTCGATGACTAACAAGCCTTTGCTTTTGGTTTAGGTCAAGACACAGTAGGTTAGATATGTGAAAGGCATTGTAGCCCACTTGGGTGCCGCTCTTGGCCCGGCGCCCATGATTGAGGTATAAATAAGAGGTTTGGGTGGCGAGCATCGAATGCAAATTCATCTAAGAACCACCTAAGTTCTACTATGAGGAGAACGTTAGCAGATATTACCTCCAAAGTCGAGGTCTAAATGAGACAATCTACCCCTTATGAGCAGAGTCCTTTTGGGCCAAACGACACTTTTGCGCCCACGTTAAGCGCGCCCAGTCGGTTTGGAGAAGAACTTTATATCTCTTCCACGTATATACGGCCAAGCATATGCCTAAGGACTGCCACTCACATTCGTCCGCTCGTATAAAGAAACCGGAATAACTAGAACGAAGAAGCCGTACTGGTACGAGGTCATGTGTGATGAGGAAATAAATGTGCCTCTCCCAGACCTTTATCATGCACACGGTCATCACATAGCACTGCAATTTGCTCGCTCCGAAATACTCAGGATAAACAGAGAATGTACTTCTACCTCAGTGTTGGCGAGCTGGTGGACTCTCTCAAGGGTGAACAACGAGACTGGTTCTTGGTCCTGCAAAAAGACCCTTGAGGCCGAAGAGACGTATCGAAGGGTCGGCATCGGGTACTTCCAATATCGTAAACGAAACTTTCCCCTTTTCCACTATAGCGAGGTGCGAACCATCTCGCTCATATAGCACCATGAAAGCCAGGAAGCCAGCACTCTACCTGGTTCTCATTCGGTTCAGTTACTAGTTATTCTCCGTTAGATATTTCATAGTGCAAGTTGATACCCAATACTCTAACCCCAAATCCACGACACAATCTAACCGCAAGTTCACGACGCACTATCCTATTCTATCCTATCCTATCCTATCCTATCCTATCCTATCCTATCCTATCCCTATCCTATCCTATCCTATCCTATCCTATCCTATCCTATCCTATCCTATCCCTATCCTATCCTATCCTATCCTATCCTATCTTATCCTATCCTACCAATGGCTACTCCAAGTGGATAGTGTCGAGCAACTCAGCAGTAGCAGCTACTGCCTCGAGAGCTTCGCCATCCATGACACCATTAACGGAGCATTCCCCAACAAGAGTGGACGTTCCGCGACCTGTTGGCCGTATGGCAAACGGCAACTCACCGCCGACTAGGACGCATATACAATCTCCGGGCTGCGAATCGAGCGGTACCCGTCCAAAGCAGCCATTTTCGGTGACACAAAATTTTAGCGCGCAAGCCTACGGTTGTGGCTAATAGCAAGAACCTTTTGGCTGCGCTGAACACTTCGTCGGGTGAAGATGACGAAGTTGTGAACAACGAAGAAGATAATTCGTAGTGAATGGTTCCTCTAAGACTAAAGCAACGGGCAGAAGCTTGATCTCTCCAAATCATGGTAATCAATAATAAGGGTAAGAGGGACTTGGATATGTGCTGACTGCTCGCGGTAGGTGTTAGCCTAACCAAGTTCTTATAATGGGCATGGTGTTCCTAAGCCAAACGAGAACTGTACCAGTTGCCCATTATGCGGCTTGGCTCTCACAAATCCTGCTACGTCGGACAATCAGTCAATGAATTTACCGGCAACGAGAGTGCCAAACTTGAGACGATTTACGACCAGAGGTCTCTGCGCTAGAAAGAAAGTGGTTCGGGCGGTCCATGAACTGCCCAAGTTTCTATAGACTAAATTGCTGGGCTATGGTGCGACTCCTCGGGACCACATCAGTCTTCTACAGTTCTTCGGCCATCTGGTCGCTATCCTTCCTCATCTGAAACTCGTTGGCGATGCTATCTAGCCACGCTGCCATCCGGAATCCGGCACGGGCGACTTGCTTCTCGACGATCGGACCGGCCTTGCTGAAGTAGTCGCCGCTAAGTTCCTTGCCGACAATTACCTGAGGGCCCTGGGGTAAGACTGTAACAGCTATAGGTCAGTAGAGTGGATTGCAAAGGGGTACGCCTCCGGGGAGCCTCACCATGAGTGCACACGAGTGCGTTGGCTTCTCTTGACCAGGCCATGGCAGTCCCGTTGGGCTTGTTTAAATCAAAGTCCTTTAGCCATGTCTCCTTATCGGCCGTAAACTTGCCATCAGTAATTTCAATAGCTAGTTGGTTCGCCCACTTCTGGGCTAGATGATCCGGCTTCCCGCGCAAGCCCCCAATCCACTTCTCAGCAATAGAACTATCCCATATATGGTGCAAGTTGAACTCCCTGGTATCCCACTTCACAAAGATATCATTGCCGCCCCTGGCCACGTCCTCGTTGTGCAGCGGCTGGTGTAGGTCGCCGACGAAGTGGACGATGAACTTTGCGGCCTCCACACGGCGCCATACCGGCAGTAAGTGGTCGAGGAACTGCTCCGTATAGTTGGCCAAGGCGTTAATAACGCAGCCCGTTTTCTTGCAGTCGCGAGCAAAATCGACGTTGCATGATAGGGGCGGATTATCGTGGGCATCGATGAAATGGAACGTCTCTGTGAAGTGCCCCCATTTGGTGTGCTTGATGGAATCGGCCCATAGAGCGACTTTGGCAAGGTAGTCGTCGTCGTTGTTGCTTAGGAGCTCTTTGAAGTATGCCTCGGTTGAGTTAGATACGAAGTGGCCCGCGAGGTAAGCTGTCGTGATGTGGCCCAGACCTGCATCTCACGGTTAAGATATTGCCAGAGCTTTATCGTCATCGCGATATTCGCCGCAAGGGACTCGACTTACTGCCCCAGGCGATGACCCTAGGTAAAGACACGAAGCCCAAGGCCACGGCGTTGAGTGAGACCTTCATAGTGTACTGCGCGGAAGGAAAGATGTTTACTCTAAAAGCGGCCTGTGAGTTGACTGCAATCCAGTGCCTTCAATTTATATGTAGGGTGCATACAGTCGACGTGTACGAGTGCTCGACAATACATTCGTAACGTCGAGACAAAACATAAGTCCAGGGCTACCAGGTGGCTGTTTTCACTACCTATTACTCTGGTTAGTGGTGGTTTGCAATTAGTTCAAAGGGGGGCTGTGTCCCTCGCAGAGTTCCTTCGGCCAGGCAAATTATGATTATTGTTCCAAGATTGGACAGTTTTCTGCGCTCAAGCATTAGCTCCACACGGTACATGCACCATGACTCGGGATGGCATCAAGGGCCTGATGAAAAGAGGCACAGACGACATAGCCAAGCCCGGTACCCTCATTTTTTGTGTCTTCCTACGAACTAATTCATCCCCAAGCCGACTTACCGGTACTTCTCAGGTGTAGTATCTAAGACCTTGCATATCGTTAGCACATAATGACGCTTACCCTCTTCACGTCCCCAAGTTATCCTATATACAGACTATACTTCCTCATATTCCGGGATACACTCCGGACACTTATTCCTGCATCCGCGGAGATGCAGGCCAAGGTGCTTGCATTTCAGCTCAGCCTCTCCACCACACCCGCCACACCTATAACTAGCGTATTTCCGCTGCTTATCGCCCGCACGATGTGATTAATTTAGCGAATGGCAGCACTCCAAGCCCATAGCAAAATACTCACATAACGCATATTGACGGAGCTAAGTCAGCCCACCCATTTACGGATCAGGGGCTTAGCTGACCGCCCCACTTACACACGCGTCAACCACAACGCGCCTCAAGCCACACGCGTTTCTTCCTTCCACAACACTCAATTGGTCAATTCAACCTTATTTTCTTTATTTTCATGCCTAAATATACAGAAAAAGACCTCCAAGCAGCCATTCAGGATGTTAAAAATGGCACAGCAATACGAAGAGCAGCCAATCAGCGCGTTGTTCCTTATTCAACCCTACGCAGCCGGATCAACGGCGTTACAAGCCGCAGCGAAGCTCACGAATGGCGTCAGCTGCTTTCCAAGACCCAGGAAGACCAGCTCTGCGATTGGCTCGTCTTACAAGATAAGCTCGGTATGGCTTTGACTCATAGCCAAATCCGGAAGTTGGCGATTTCCTTGTTGGGCGAAAGTGGCAGCAACCAACGACTCGGAAAACACTGGATGACCGGCTTCTTACACCGCAACCAACAAATAAAAACGCTCAAAGGAAAGGGAATTGACCGGAAAAGGATAAATGGAGCAAATCCGGATGCTATTCGCGGGTTCTTTGACCTATTGGACCAACCAGGGGTCAAATCGATCCCTCCACGCAACTGTTGGAATTTCGACGAAACTGGAGTCTTCCAAGGGCTCGGAACCAACGGGCTTGTAGTTGGCCAATCGCAGCTTCGATCGACGATTAAGAAACAGCCACATGACCTTAGTTGGATTACTATTCTTGAGGCTATTTCCGCAACGGGAAAGTGCCTTGACCCATTAGTCATCTTTAAAGGAAAATACGTCTAACACCAATAGTTTCCTGAGGAATTGGACTTTCTGACCAATTGGCAATTTACATCGTCTGATAAGGGCTGGACCAATAACGATATTAGCCTTGAATGGCTAAAGAAAGTCTTCCTTCCTGGCTCAAAGCCTGCCCGGGCCAATGAGAAGAGGCTCCTCATCCTAGATGGGCATGGATCACATGCAACGATCGAATTTATGCGTACTTGTGTGACCAATAGGGTTCATTTACTCTATTTACCGCCTCACACTAGCCACGTTCTTCAGCCTCTTGATATATCAGTCTTTGGGCTACTTAAAGCTGCATACCGAGCTGCTTTAATACTAGCCAATCCCCTTACTGATGTTAGCCCAACTAGGAAGGAAGACTTCCTTACTTGCTATTTTGAGGCAAGGAAGAAGGCTCTGACTACTAAAAATGCGTTATCTGGTTGGAAGGGAGCCGGGTTGTGGCCAATTAATATGTCAAAGCCAATGGGTAGCCAATTCGTTATTGACAACCCTAACAACACAATCACAGTCCAATCAGAAGCCCCCATTTCCCCAAAAAGGAATCAGAGGTCTGAAATTGCCCCTTTTACTACCCCTAGCAATTCAAGAGATATCACCTTATTGGTTCGTTCTCATAAGAAGGAAATCCTAGCTAGCCCAACCACGAGGCAGCTACTAAGAACTATTAGTAAGGGCTTAGATAAGCTCCACTTACAAATTGCCCAATTACAAGACCAAATTGCAGTTCTACAACGAAATTCGAACCAATCAAAAGCTAGAAAGAAAGGACGAGTTTATAAAGACCTAAATAAGCTATTTTTAGGTATCCGGAATGTGAAGAGGGCAAGAAGGCGAATAAAAACGCCTGAGGTTGAAGATTCAGAATAGCTTGTTTTTCCTTTGTTTTTATTGGTTAATTTTTTGATATTTAGAAATTCTATTAGTTAGTTTATTAAAAATCAGTTGAAATGGACCAATTAGGTCTCTTGGTTGTTGTTTTATCTCTAAGTGAAGTTGAATTGCGATTTTGGTTATTGTGTAAGTGGGGCGGTCAGCTAAGCCCCTGATCCGTAAATGGGTGGGCTGACTTAGTGCGTCTCATGTCGGAAAGTCCCGTCTGCGCCGCTGCGTAAACCGGTGGACAGCCCTAGACCGACATGCTCCTGGTGATTGAGGCCAGCTCTTAGCTACCTTTGATGGGACCCTGTGATGCTCGAAATGACGAATTGTGAAATCATCCTTTGTCCTTCTGCTGCGGCGCTGCCTCTGGTGTGGCTTCTTGAGCTGATTACCAATTAAATGGTTCTGGCCAATTGGATCCCGCTTTATTCTTTCGGGGGGGCATCGGCCACGTACGGCTGCCAAGTCGGCATTCCTCAGCCAGGTGTCCGCCCCTGGCGGATTTTTCTATGCCTGCCGGCATGAGATAAGGATGTGGTGGTTAGCGTTGAGACTCAGCAAATATCTGTCATGGTAAATGTGGTTGGATGTTGGCCCAGCAGGTCTGTCTTGTTCTGGATTCTCCGTATCTCGCTCCTTCTGTTGCATCTCAAGTCGGAAAGTCCCGAAGCCCGTGCAAAGGTCCATGGCTAGATCCCAAGCTACTATGTTATTCCGTCAAGGATATTGTCCCCTACGCCCTTAACGGTGCCGCTGACTGTCCTGCTGGGTAATTGTCTCGGTGCTCTTTCGCACCTACCACATACAGCACATGAACCATGACGATGGTGGACCCGTACCGTGTGATCGTCTGATGCCGATGCCATGAGCGCCGGGTCGTGTGAGGAAGCGGGTCTGTCTGTGGAAGAGGTACGCAAGATTATAGACACTCGTGAGCGGATCAGGTCATCAGGATGCTCTCTGCCTTGCACACTCTCCCTCGCATCACCTTCCCCTCGAAAAATTCTTTCTTGTCGCAGACTGTTAGTGTTGTGGTAGACAGGCGCGAACCTACGAACGAACGATCTTCGACAGCGACCTAGCTCTTAGCTTACGCTAAGCTAGAACCCCTAATTGAGAGTCTTTAGAGTGCTCCGAAGCTAATGACGGGAAACATTAAGGCGAACTGCAACAACGCGGGATTAGGGACCTGAGATTAGGAAGGGGTCTCTGGATGTGAATAATTACAGGCTAGAAAGTATAGATCCCTCAAATGGAGGAGGGAAAAGTACAAGACACTTTACTGTCTACTGGTTTTTCTCTCGGTTGGCTGGGTTTTCCAGTAGAAGGCTTGATATGCAAGATATCTAGTGTTTAAAGGCAATTGGTGGACAATAGCACAGTTACGGTGGAGGAATGTAGGCTGCTGCTGGACCAGGCTCTCTAAAAGCGCAGCTACCTTATACATACTGATAGCTGGAATAGCTAGATAGTCTCTTGCACGCCACATGCCCTTCGGGACACCTTCCCCTTAATTTAATTTTCCTTGACACTTACTGTTGGTGCACACCCGCACCACACCGCAAAACCCTTTAACACTCGTGAGGCTACACCTAACAACACCACAACTGTTGCCACTATAACCTCGGGTCAGAGGCAGCAGCTGCGGCAACACCGCATCCACTGAACGTTGGATTACAGGCGCTCATCGATCGTAGCCCTGGCGCTACTTTTGAATCGCCAACCCCATCGCAGCCCTCCAAGAGGAGACGGAACATGCAGACTGAACCCATTGCATGGCCGAGTCTGCAGACCCCGGGAGGGTCCTAATAC